TTAAATCTTAAACATTTTACTAACCCATCAATGATGTTGTTGTTGTGACTAATGTCACTTTTCTAATCTAACCAGAACAAGCCTACGAATTTTATTGAGACGAAGGGTACAAGATTAGTACAAGATTACGCCTGTCGTTGGTAAGAGCCTTGGACAATATGTAAGTGATAGTACTACTACATCCCAGTTATGAGGGAGCTCATCCCGCGGGGGAGTGGGGTGTCTTCTACCCCTTTTCCCTACCACCAAACTACACGAGGGAAGTTTATGCTAGCCATGCATTTAGAATCTGGCGCGAAGACACTATGCATTTACAACATTCAAGCCTTCTCCAGCATTTGAACCCTGGCCCTCGGTATGGCCGTCAGCATCCTAACCACTATGCCGGTCGGGTGACATATTTTTGTAACTTCACAACGCTCAATGTGGGAACCATATGTTACCCGTAAAATGCCGGTGAGGCAGCTGGATGCTTGCAACTCACGGCCCAAGATGTCTTTCGAGAATGTGCTGTTACTTATTCAGTTACTCTTTTACTCTCCTGTCTCGTGAAAGAAGAATGATGTATACAAGAGCCTTTACATAACCCCTAAAATATATCACGAGGAGTGTCATCCGAAGACTTAAGAGACCGTTTTCTCACACACTAGTTCCACCACTACCAATCCAACAAGTGTGTAGCTCGGCGTTCAGATATGCTCTTAACATCACGATGAAAATATGGGGGGTGGGGGGTATTTAACTGTTCCAGTGTGCAATAATGCATTAAACATTTCTGCAACATCTAAAGATTTGGTTTAGTTTTATTTTATTTAGTTATTTAGTCATGGAAAAGCTCTCTAGGATTATCTGCCTAAAGGGAGGAATGCCTCCGTGGAGAACGTTCTAAGGGAAACTGGCTCGTATATACTTTACACGTGGGGAGAAGTACTCCATTTTCATTATGATACCACCTAGCGACGACGCATGGAATTATACGTAACACCTGCAATGAGGGAAAAAAGACTTTCAGTGTTTCTCTTTGAAATGGTGTACTTTGCTACTTAAATGCTCCTCGTTTGGCTATATTAGTTTATAATTTTTCCCAAAATTTTAGTGCATGCTGTTTACATTTATGTTAACACAAAGACATTGGTTTTCAGAAATTAAAAAACACAAGAAAATGTTGTATAGAATATTTACATCAAATCTCATAAATTAAGATAAAAAGTTAAATATAAAATTTTACCAATAGTGAGTATTATCACACCAAACAGCACTGCAAGCCTGACAGCGATGTCTCATACTGCTTATGATGCTTAAATGAGCTGCATACCGCGCAACCGGTACAGTGGTTGGCGTCACTGACTGCGGTGCCGAAGAGCCCGTTTCGAATCCCGGAGAAGGCATGGATGTTTGTAAATGTAGAGTATATGAGCAGGTTCGGTCACTCTATGCGGTGAGCTCAAAGTCCTCTCGAGAGGTTATTGCTAGGGGAAGAATGGTGGGAGACTTGGGACCCGTCACCCCTCCCGAAGTGCTCTCCATCGAAACTGGGGAGCGGAACTGAGCTACGTCGCATTTTCACCTATAAGGTGCTCAAGGCTATTGCCAATGACAAGCATAATCTTGCGCTCCTTGCCACGAGGAATTTCGTGGCCTCCGGCTGACCATACGTCAAACAAGTGAGCATAAGTCAACAACAAATGAGCTGCATGGATAGCAATACCCATTGCGGTATGAAATAGCAGTTATAAAACTATCTAGGGTTTGGGGGCGAGATTAGAGGTCAGCAACAAGCTTCCAGAAAGCATACCACACATGGAGTTAAAGCCGGGAAAAAACGTGCTGGCTTTTCCGTTTGATTTATAGTTTCTTCTTCAAGAAATGGGATCCCAAGGAAAGCAGGAGCAGTGTGAGAATGGGTATTATCTGCTTACAAAATGAAGGTATCGCTAGTTGCGGCAGCATACGGGAGAACAATAAGATCCAGTATGTCGTCTCTCTACCTCTGTCTCTCTTTTAATGTAGCAAGCAACTCATACAGATCTGTGCACCCACCTGTGATACTCTTCTCCATATAAGAATAGTACCTCCAGCATATATATTCCCTTTCCGTATATTAGAAGGAAGATATGAAGCCTTTGCTTCTCGCCATTTGTGCACAAGTCGATAATAATTCTGTTAAGCAAAGTGGGACTCATCAATGAACAGAAAAGTCCTCCACTGACTTTTAATCCACTTTACATGCTCCATGCTCAATTCAAAAGCTATCTCTCTGAAGGCGAAAGCTAAGCGAGATGCAAAGATTCATGCAGCATTCCGCATTTTATCGTGGTTGATACTATCCATCCTGTTGCAGAAATAAGCGCGAACCTAAGCTGAGATGGAATTGTAGTCTTGGTGCGACTTACAGCAGGTCGCAAGTAGGGTCTCTACAAAAGTCGTAACTTTTGGTCTACCTTTCATACGCCTGGTAGTTAGAAATTTGTTCCACGACCGGCTTACCATGGAGGAATCAGCATTCGGCCATTCGGAAACGACAGTGTGTCGTTGACCTACTTCTATTTGGTTAGTTTCTCTATAAAGCAATTCTGCTAGCAAATATCGCCTCGTACTCATTTTCGCACTTTAGTTACCTCAGATTGTTTAAGATATCGCCTTTTATTAAACAAAGACTACTACACAGCTGGGTTTAAGCTCTATCGTATTTACGTGAAATGAGCATTATGCAAAAGAGTTGCACTCATCTGACGCAACTTGTATTCATGCTTAATATATACAAATTTCAATAATTTTGAAACAGCTTTTGCCAAATTATGTAGATTTTTCAATTTGTTGCTTAACGTTTGGAAATCAATGCATATATATATCAAATGTTGTATGATCTTAAATTCATTTAGTGCGAAAACAAGTAACTACTACTTGCGCAATTGCTGCAAAGTAAGTTAATAATTTATTTACTAAATAATATTAATTAATTGATTATATTATCTCCTAAGTATAATTATAGTAGGATTATCTTAAAAGAGTGAATCCATACTAGTAAGTTATATTTTGAAAGATGTTTTGAAGTAACTTTTAAGTTAATTGTTAAAAAGGTTTTAACGGGAACTGGATTTAAATCATGAATCACAAAATTTCACTTGTAAAAGGAATACATTAAAGGCAAGAATTAAATTAAAGGCAAGAATTAAATTAAATTCATGTAATCATTGTCATTGATCGGAAAGTAGTTAAAGAAATATTGATTATATTATCTTCTAAGATTAATTTTACTAGAATTATCTAAAAATAGTGAATCAATAATAAATTTAATTCCGAAAATTATTTTAAAGTAACTTGAATGTAAATTGTTAAAAATGTTTAACGGGGACTTGTATTAAATCATGAATGACAAAATTTCAATTTTAAAAAGAAATTAAATTAAAAGCAAGTAATTAAATTAAAAGCAAGTAATTAAATTAAAGGCAAGTAATTAAATTAAAAGCAAGTAATCATTGTCATTGATCGGAAATTAGTTGACTTTTCAAGGGGAACAAACCAACTCCCGTTCAATGAACAATAATTAATGAATAAATACGAAGGTGTTTCGTCTTTACTCGAGCAATAAGGTTATGCCAAACCGGCAATTCAAGTCAGGCCAAATATTTCCGTGAATAGAAGGGATTATTCAAAGAACTTATTCTTATTAAGCATTTTAGCCAATTCAATTTTGAGTGAAAAGCAATTTCTGCAGTAAAATTTCGATAATGCTCGAGTAACCGTCCCCCGACACCCTCGTGTTTATGCATTTGAGTTCACTATTATTTGTAAAAATTAAACATTGGAAATTGCATTATGAAATAGGATTCAAAGTAGTTGAAATAAACATTAGAAAATTACAAAATATAGGATAAATAATGCAAACTTTGTAAAAACAAATCAAAAATAAAATAAAAATAAAAAATATAATAAGAAAAGTGAATGTACATGAAGATATAAAGGCCAGAAAAAGTATTAATTAACTTACGTTCTTTCTAGTGGGGAGTGGGCAAAGTGTTCTCTTTGCGTCTGACTCAGAAGTGTAGTGTTTCCGAAAATTCTTTAGCTGCAGCGGGGACTTGGGTGAAGTAATTTATGCTAGTGGATGGGACTAGAAATTCTTGAGGGATGTATTCTGTGGAGTTCTTATTTGAGTGAAACCGTCTGTTAAATTTTTTTCGAAAATACTAATGAATGGAAATTAATTAATTTCTGGCTAATTGTCGTGTCGAAGCGATTAAGAATTTAAGAAAGAAAAAAAGGAATTTTCACTGTCAAAGAGCTATTTGACAGACTAAAGATTATGAAATAGGCCCATTTTTTTAGTAACAGCATAAGTCTGAAGACAATTAGCTTTTTACAATATATACAACTGAGTAATTACACTATATACAAATCCTTCAACTAATAGTCATCCAGCTTATACCGCCTTCTCAGGTTTAGGAACAAGTTATCATATCCCTATCAGTTAAATAATTTAGAGTGAGTATTTAACGCCTGCTCTTTTAAGGCAATGGTTAATAAATTGTTTGGGTATTAGATTATTTTTGAGAATTTTAATAAGGAGCAAAATTTCGCGTTGTAGATCTATCGTATCTGTGCAGATATTTTAATTCGTTGTATTTGATTTATTATTGTGTTGTTAATTACTTTTTTTGGATATGTTGGAATTCCAATTTATTAATTTGTTAGTATTGAAATTGAAGTTTCTTGTTTTGTCAAAAAGTAAAATTTTTTTTTGTAGTTAATGATTTGAAGATATAAATAGTCTATGCTGTTTTGTGAATTATTAGTTTTATTAAGTGTAAGACAATTTGGATAAATCTCAGAGTGTTCAGTTTTACTAAAATTATTAATTGTAATAAGGTCATCAATATATCTGTAAGTGTGCTTGTAGTAATTTAACTCTTGGTGTTGTGCGTTTTTAAAATGTTATTTAGTTCATACAATAAATAATAAAGACATTTTAAATAGCATTTAAATAAATATTTTTTTAGATATTGACGGTGCAGCAATGATGAAGCTTCACCCCATAATGGTGCTCAGAATAGACGAAGATGCGTACAAATTTACCGAAACGTGATGCCGGTACTCGCTCGTCTATGCCAGTTCTGGCAACTGGGTAATTATTTGTTATAATTCAAACATATTTTGAATATTGCATTGTAATGTTTGTATTTTTATTTCAAATATTAGTAGAATATATGAAGATTGGACAAATAGATAGGCAAAAATAAAGCGTTATATTCAAAGTCAAGTAGTTTTTATGACGGAGTGGATTTAATAATGATTTCAGTATTATTAAGAAGTAAATTTTCCCTGAATGTCTGATAGCAAGGCACATAATTTTTAACTGCAAGCAATAAGATTCTACTTTGTGTGAAATTATATATTCATTATGCCAAATGTTGTCTATGGCTATACTACCGATCTTCATATTCCCAAGAAAAATTAAAACAGACTCATACTATTGATATTATACATTTATGAATTTTTAATAAACTGTTCAAAACTTTTGGTGTAAAAAATTGCTAAAACAAATAATACTTTTAGAAGAATCGTGTTATATAAAGCGTTTCTAAATTCGTTGGTTTTTCTCATTTTATTTGTATGCATTTAATAAATTTGTTTAAATTAGTTTTATTTTATTTCCAAATTTATAACTTTTCTTATTCAGGAAAACTATGATTTGGAAAATGTGGTAATGTAGCCTGTTCGTAGCGATTCACAGACGAAAATTAATTTACTGGTTGTCTAGAAAAACTACCGTATTAATTCATTAAATAGTTTTGTAGTATTGCATATCAAGCTGTTATCATTAAATGTAAATGTTGTTTCACAAGATATGTAGAAATATTGAATGTTTCATGAATCTTTTTCTACCCTATTTCTTTATATCAAAAGTTATTATTTTATGTATAGGAAACATATTAGTGAAGTTATTGCATAGCATTGTATGTAGGAAATAGTTTTATGTTTAATACGTATATTTTAACCATCAGTTAATGAAATTTTCTAGTGTTTTACAAAGAATGTCACATTTTTTGCTTAATTAAATGATCACTGCTTGGATTGTGTATTACAATCGTGAAAAAATTGATAGCTAGGAAAATTCAGCTCTGTCATACTATATAGATGAAGATTAAAAACTATCATGTAAGAACATTAAAAAGTACTGATAGTGTGATTAATGACGTGCTTGAAGTAGTATCTTATTATATTATGATGCTCTTTTATCATCAACATTTTCTCCTTTTTTGAGTATTCTCATTCATAATTAGTCTTAAATAATTGTTCTGTATTAGCGCTAATTGCTGTATGTCACTTTAAAATTTTAAAGTTGTGGTTTATATTTTTATAAAACAGTAAAAAAAAAATATTAAAGAGATTCATAAAGTAATGCCTAAAACTTAATTGTATATGTTACATTTCAAAATCATGTGTTATCTAATACAAAACTATATTAATTAAATATTCTTTTACCTACTCTTTTTATCAATCGATGAACGTAGTTTATAGAAAACGACGTACAGTTAAACAGTTAAGATTTATTTAAATAATTTTAAAAATTTTCGTTTCAATAATGAGCGCAGCATATGATAAACTAATTAATATCATGTTTCATTCTCTTATGCCAGTTGTTTTTAATCAATTTTATGGTATACTGTTAAGTTCTGAATTAATTATATAATGCAACTGTACAATAGGCTTCACATTCAAAATAAATATTGCTTTTGACTTTCCTTCCTTCATAATAATTATTTTTGGTAAATGAATATGATCAATATATATATAACTCACGCTTATGAAATTTTGAATTAATTATCCTGCAGTAAACAAAGGAATTATAAGTTAAAAATATTCCTTTGACTGTTAAAACTTTTGTGCACTAGTTTATGTAGTTGAACTCTCTAAAGCAAGGATTCTCAATCAAGGGGGAATACAATCAGCCTTTTGTGTGTTAACGTGTTTTTTTTTTTTTTTTTTTTTTTTTTTTTTCCCTCAATGGCGGCACTTGTCTATGTCGGCATCGGCAACTCCCAAGGTCAGATGTGGTGGTCTCACTATTATGGAAGCGCCTAATAGGTGTGCCACCCTTGTCTCCTATGAGGAGACAACAATTACAGTCGTGCCTTCTCCGGGATTCGTACTGGGGCCCTTTGTTATCGCAGCCAGGCTCCTCTAACCACTATACCGTCTGGGAGACTATGCAGCTGGGTGTTAAACATTTAGTTTTAGTTTATGGATATGAAAAATTATTTCTATTCAAGTTTTAGTATTTATCAACTAACTTTTTAAAGATATATTTTTAAAGGTATGTATTTGTAGTTTAATTTATAAAAGTGTTTGAGGTCCTACTGATCAACTTTTCATTTCAACTGATCAACTTGACATTTTCTTTCTAGATAAGACAGCAAACATAAAATGTTACGTTTTTGAAAAATACAATGTTATATTAATTATTAAAATAAGAGGTATTTTAATCAAATTTCGCCTTAAAAATAAGTTTCATTTACATAGTAAACGTATAAATGTTATATTTTACCACAAAAATATAAATTAATTGTTAGGAATTGCATATATTTTTTACAGATCCCCATTCAAGCTACATAGCACTTACGAATTATTATTATAGATTTGTACAACGTATTCTATATGAAAGTCCTACACAGTATTTACTTGATTGTTAGGTCCAAAGGAGCTTTGTCACTGAGGGACTATTGTGTTCGTTTTGCGATTTTGGGACGAATCACTCTGAACGTCCGTTTCACTTTTCAAACTGTTGCCACCAAATATTATCGTCCTGTATTATATTTAAAGAAATTAAATAATGAAGAATGTGCATAAATGTATCTATGTTTCTAGCAATGTGATAAAACAACGGCACCTAGAGCCATCAAATTTTGAATGACGTAATCCTACTGCGAATACGGGCATCTGGAAGACCAAATTTGAAATTTGGAGTTTGGTTTACTATCGATTTCATATTTTGTAAACCTTTAACGAATATTTGATTAACAAACTGAAAGATTTCAAAGCGAGCAATGGCAACGTTGTACAGAATAAACATTTTTATCTCCAACACGTGAGACGGTGTATCGGAAATTCTAAAGATAGGCTCAATTTAAAATTATGTTGCGATATTGTTCTTGAACTGAATTTTATGGCTTAAGTACGAAGAATATGATATTTAATAAATAAAGTTTTAAAAATTACCAAATGTTAAAAAAACGCTCCTTTGGGCTTAATTTAAAATCTGAAACCTTTCGGATTTTCTTCGCTAATATTTTCTCGCTTTTTGTTTTCTTTTCTGCATAATTCGCAAGAAATCGCATATAAGTATAAAAATGAACTGTCAGACTGTCAGTTCTGATTATCCAGGACGGAGCAATACACTAACATTATCTGAGTTAAATTAGATTTTAGTAACTATTTCATACTGCAATATATCAACTGTAAATAAACATGATCTCCCCAGCTGGGTGCAAGGAAGTAATCTCTAAATGGGCATCACTGCAGGCATTGGTTTAAATTGAAAGAAGCTGAAAAATAACATTTTATTTAATATTCTTTAGAAATTTGAAAAGAAATATATATTGCACTAATGTAACTAAGTTCTTTGTTTTTGATTTTAAGAATGAAAAACAAAGAATAAAATAAAGGAAAAGAGAACCAAAACATGCTCCAAAATTTGCTGTTCCATTTGTTTTCTATTATTAATAATTTTTTTTTCAAAACACGAATATAAAGATTTTAGTTGCTCATTCTACAGTCGTCAGATTTCGACTCTGTAACTAAACCTTTTGAACAAGTGCCACAAACAGCATATCCTAAATGGTTTATATTTTTCTAAAATACAATACGAAATGATAAATGACTTTGGAAGATCTGACTACGCCGGTTTGTTATATCGAATCAGATACTTATACAATGATTCTTTGAAAGGTCATTTATCATTCTACCTAAGAAAACAATAAAGTAGCAATTTCAAAAAACGCTTCGAAATGTATATGGCTTATTTCTTCTATTTTCCCTTAAACTTTTCATACATAAGAAATGTTCCTGAAGTTTTGAGACTTCACTATAGTTTCTAATCACAAAGCTTACTGTGTACTTCATATGTAAAAGTATTCGCAATACTAGACAATTAATTGGATGATATATCACGCCTTACTTTGAAGGGGAGAAAATTTGGAATGAAATTTGAAGCAATAGGATCACTGGTAGTAGCGGAAACTTAGCCGACAGGACATTTAGCCCTCATGGAAATTTAGCCGACAGGATAGGTGCAGGTACAGGTAAAAGTATGAGGGACACCAACCATGTCCTGTGGGTCAACTGGTAGGGCTTTCCCATTCTAACTATTAAAAAAATACAAGCATTATTAGAATTTACAGAGAAAGGTTGAGGAAATGGAAACTGAACCTATCCAAATGATCTAGCGTTTATCCATTATGATACATACTATAATCAAATCACATATGAGATGTTTAAGAATTGAACAAAGCATTTTAGTGATACAAAAATAACCCGAAAATTAAATTAAGCGAAAATAAGAGCAATTTTGTGACTGAAAGAAAGATAAAATGTCATTACAAGATTGTGAGGATTATTTTTCATGAAAGGCTTCATCATTGTTCGAGACAGAAACTCAGTCACTGGAAACTAATTTCAAACAATTACTTTCTCAGAAAGCAAAGTATTCTGAAAAACAAATTTTAGGAGCACGATATAAGCAGTAGTAAAAAATGCATATTTTTTAGTTGACTAAATGACATAATTTTGCATGGAGAGGCAAGCAAAGAGGAAAAAGATTTACGGTAAACAATTTCGGTTTTGGAATAAGAATTCTGATCAATATATATATAAAAATTAAGAACTCAAACTGGCGATTCCCACTGCCTGAAAATAAGACCCATCCATCAAATGGCAACCATGTTTGTGAGATTAAAATATGCCTATAAGCCGATAAAATGCAATGTGGCTATGGCGTTGTGTAAATAGTTCTTAAGTAATAAGTTATAAAAAACATTATGAAATATGAAACCAATGCTTCCCATCAATAATTCAATAAAATTCAAGGCATGTGCTATCAGTGGAAAACATAGCGAACCATATATAGGAAATTCTGTGAAATAGGATGCTT